TGCAAAAAACCTTTACTGTTGAAAAATCTGCATACAAAATGGTGATCCAAAAAAATGGACAAAGCCATATGTATGTATATGGCTTTTCTTTTTTTAATTATATATATCGTTTTTTTTTTTTTTTTTTTGTTCTGTTAGAAAGTGGAAGGTTTTGGAAGAATTTACCAGGCCCTGGTCTCTCAAAAAGTTGAGAACCATTGGTTAAACCCATCAGTGTCCAGTAAACATCACCAGATCCGGCTGCATTATTTTGCTGTTTAACCTAGATAGAGTTTAGTCGTGTTTCATGTACAAGATCTTATTGGTCATTTTGGTTTGAGGTTTGGTTCTAAGGTGCACCTTTTTCTGCTTTTATTAGGAAATTGTGATGTTATTATTAGACTCCAATGCTGACACTACAGTGATAAACTGTCAGGGACATACAGCTGCTGATGTAGCACAGGACAAGGAGGTCAAAGTCATGTTAGAAGGTAATTTATATTTCTCCATTGTGTTAAAAAGTGTGTTTATGCGGCAGTATTTTTTTGCCACAAGATGGCACTTGTGCTCTCTGCTGCTTGTGTTTCAGCCATTAAACTCTGATTTTGCTTTCGGCCTCCTCTAAATCTCTACATTCCTTTTTTTTTTCTTTTTTACTGCTGTGATCCAACTTCCTGTTAGAGGTTGGCTACGTTCGTTCTCCATGGTTCCATTATACACTCACCGGCCTCTTTATTAGGTACACCTGTTCGATTGCTCGGTAACACAAATTGCTGATCAGCCAATCACATGACAGCAACTCAATGCATTTAGGCATGTAGACGTGGTGAAGACAACTTGCTGAAGTTAAAACTGACCATCAGAATGGGGAAGAAAGGGGATTTAAAGTGTTACTAAACTCACAACAGTAAAATCAGTCTGTATATGCAGTAAATGCATGCTTGTTATACTCCGTGTGGAACCTAAAGGGTTAATCCTCTGCATTTTGTAAAAAGGCTGTTTGATCCTGATTTCTCTGATCCTCCCCTTCTTCCAGTGCCCCCCTCTTATTTCCTGATAAGACATATCGTGTGGAGTCATTCTGCACATGGTCAGTTTGGTGTGTATTGCTAGAGAGTTTTTTTTTTTTTTTTTTTCCTTGGGAGAGTGCATGTGATCAGCACAGGGCCAATCAGCACTGTCTAGACAGAGATCATGGGTTCTGCATCCTATAGCAGAATTAAAACTCCTCCTGCAAGTTTTAACATGTGCTCTGCTGGACACTGATAGAAGTCACAAGACTGCTCTAACTGCTGTTGAGAAAAGGTATTTAGCAGTTTGTATTTACTAAAATAATTGCATTTCCATGTTCTGTGGGAGATCAGATATAGTGATTGCAGGGTCCTGGGTTTAGTAACACTTTAAGTGACTTTGAACGTGGCATGGTTGTTGGTGCCAGACGGACTGGTCTGAGTATTTAAAAAATTGCTGATTTGCTAGGATTTTCACACACAACCATCTCTACGGTTTGCAGAGAACGGTCTGAAAAAGAAAAAAGTGAGCGGCAGTTGTGTGGATGAAAATGCCTTGTTGAGGTGAGAGGAGAATGGGCAGACTGGTTGCTGTGACATTCAGATGGTAGGGTCAGAATTTGGCATAAATAACATTAAAGCATGGATCCATCCTGCCTTTTATCAGCGGTTCAGGCTGGTGGTGGTATAATGGTGTGGGGGATATTTTCTTGGAACTAGCAAGGTGTACCTAATAAAGTGACCGGTGGGTGTATGTAGGAATGTATTCACCCTCTCTTTCTCGCTCCCGTGATGGACTAGGGAATATGGACATTAGGATTTGTAGAGCAGTGCACATAACCACAACTAAAGGGCATTGCTCATGCCAAACAAACAGAAGTGAGAGGGAAAAGCAGAGGTTCAGAAGCTCACAGAGAATCAATTTCATGAAACATAGATTATAGGACAATTAGGTGGTGCATGTGTATGGATTCTTTTAGACAAAAATGATATTGTTTAGTTTCACTTTAACAAAAGCCAAACATTTGTAAAAATCTACATTTATCTCATGTATACATTATGTTGTATGATGTTATTACACATAGTGGCAGCCACTCGGTAGTTCTCAGCCTTACATGAGAAACCATTGAATGATCGCTGCACTGGGCATAGAGATTAGTGAAGGAAAGATGGCCTCCACTCATCTCTATGCCCCAGGAGAACTGGAGCGATGTCACTTCTGGTTCCGGCCATTTCTTTTTTTTAAAAGCACTAAATCAATGCTTTTTTTTTTTTTTTTGATCCAATGCTTTACATTGCAGAGGAGAGATGTGGGGTCTTATTGACCCCATATCTCTCCATAAAAAGGACCTGTCACTGATTATTTCTATCACAAAGGATGTATGCATTTCTTGTGATAAGAATAAAAGTGATTGCTTTTTTTTTAAAGGGGCAGTGCAAAAAACAAAAATAAAAAACCATTAAATTTACGAAAAAAAGTTTAAAGTGCCCCGTCCCCTCGTGCTCGCATACGTAGGCCATGCCCACATATGTAAATGTTGTACAAATCACACGTGAGGTATCACCATGAACATCAGAGCAAAAGCAATAATTCTCGCACTAGATTTCCTCTAGACTATCTTTACACTGCTAACCTGTAGAAATTTTTAAAGCATCACTCATGGAGATTTTTAAGTACTGCAGTTTCATGCCATTCCATGAGCGTGCGCAATTTTAACGCTTGACATGTTGGGTATATATTTAATCGCCATAACATCCTCTTTCATATTTTACAAAAAAATTGGGGTATATATTGTGTTTTTTTTTGTTTTTTTTTTTAATCAAAGTGTATTTTTTTCCAAAAATATATTCATTTTTAAAAACTGCGCGTTTTGGTTTTCGGCCAAGTGCATTTTGAATTTTTGGTTTCGGCACCAGAATTTTCATTTCGGTGCACCACTAGTTATTTCACAGGTTATCATTGCTATTTGAGTTCTCCCATCACTTCATATCTCAGGGGTGCCTGGTTGCTGCAACAGGAGACCTCTGCTATGGAGATGCAGACAGCATAAAGTCAGCAGGAACACCCAGCAGTAAAAGCCAAGCAGACACTCTAACCCTTCCCTAGTCTACCCAAAAAGAAAATAACGTGAATGTTTGTAAATTAATTATGTCACCAGCTGCACAACGAACTCAGGAAAGAAAACTGGAAGAAGTCCTTCTGCATGCTGCAAGAGAAGGAGACATGGCAACGTTATCAGATCTGGTAAGAGGATATGTTCTAGAATGTTGTGGCTTTCTATTACTGTAGATCAGGCCAAACATCATACACTTTCAGGCATATGTAGAATGATTCTATTAGTTAACATTTAATACATACATGTATTTTTTTATAGCATATCAACTTTTTTAATGAACAGGGCAATCCTCTTTTGTTAAAGTTGATCTCTGCCTAGAAAAAAAGTGACTAAGGCTATGTTTACACTAGCCAATGCTCTGAAAAGCAATTTGAGGTGATTCGCTTTTCAGAGCACAGGTAAGCAGCCACTGTCAGGAATTCAGGAGGTGATCCTGCCCCCTCCTGATTGTCTGTGTGTTACATTTTAATATCCATTTTAACCCTTCCTGTTTAACCCCAACTCTAGGAAACCTAAAACAACCTGCACTGCAATGGTTAACTGCTTGTTTAGACTAGTGGATAGAAAAGCACTTTTACTTGCCTGATCCTCCACTCCCCTGGTGGATGACGCTACTCCATGTTCCAGCGGTAGTCTGTTTCTCAGTGTCTTTATTTCCAATGCAGGGCTGTGGGTCTTGCATCAGCCTTGATCATGTCAGAGGACCTTTGACTGTTGCATTGCAGGGGAGAAAAGGTTTAGAGGAGCCTCCAGGAACAGAGGATTTATTAAGTAAAAATAATTTACCGAATTCCCTAGACCAGTGTTTCTCAACCTTTTTTCAGTCAAGGCACCCTTTAAAATTCTGCACAATCTCAAGGCACCCTAATCTAAAATGTAAAAACCTATTCTACACACATCCAGTACACCCAACATTAGGGGTGATTTATTCTTCCAAAGCAAATACACCTTTGCACACTGGTACCGACTAGTATTCCAGTGTGTCTCTCTCATGTTCTCTCCATTCTGCTAATGCGACTCCAGTGCTGACGGAGAGGGGCAGGGGAGGGCCAAACAAGGATGATGTGCATGCACCCGACATCCTCCTTATCAACTGATGATCATTGGTTGTTAGGATGCTGGCAGCTAGAAGGTCATAAAAGTGCACAATGAAAACCTGTGGCTTTGTGTACTAAAAGGCAGGATTGATCCACCTGCTGGCTTGTAAACACAATTTTTAGGCATTTTGCCAAGGCACCCCTGAAGAAGCCTGAAGGCACCCCGGGTGCCTTGGCACCCTGGTTGAGAGAGACTGCCCTATCAACCTTTTTACTTCAGAGGAACCCTTCAGATTTTTTTCAGGCCTCAGGGAACCCCTTCCAATACCAATTCATCAGAGATCAGTGGGAAAAAATGCCTTATACATTGGTGGCTAGTGGGAAAAATCCAACCCTTACAAAAAGATCATTGGTGCCATGCCACTTTATCTGCCAAATGGCATTTGCCCAAGAGCTATGCAGGCACCATCAAACGGGAGGTCAATCAGCCACAGCTCAATGAACATCTGGACACCTATGATGGAACCATAGGGTTCCACGGCACCCTAGTTGAGAATGACTGACTGCCCTAGACATAAACAAGCATTTAACCTCTGCAGTGCGGGTGCAGCCTCAATGCAGAGAAAGGATTTTAGGATTCCTGGTGTTCAGTTTTAAATAAAAACTATATAAATGCAAGCCATATCTTAGAAATAATGCTGAAGGTTTGATGAGTATTCATTAACCACCTCCCGCCCGCCATATAGTAATATGACGGATGCAAGCTGGTTCTCTCATTCTGGGAGGACGTCATATGACGTCCTCCCATTCTCACCGTGGATGCGCGGCTCAGGGAGCGCGCAGCATGGCGATCGGCAGTGCACTGTGTCCCCCGGACACAGCGGATCACCGATCACGGAAAGAGCCGAAGATGTCGGCTCGGTCATGTGATCAGCTGTGTCCAATCACAGCTGATCACATGTAAACAGGGAAATGCCGGTTATCGGCATTTCTCTCCTCTTGAGCTGTCACGCTGACAGCTCGAGAGGAGAGCCGGTAATCGGCTTTCCGTGGAGGGGACATGTACACTGATCATCAGAGCACTGATGATCAGTGTGCCCTGATGATCAGTGTAGCCTCAGCAGTGCCACCTGTCAGTGTCCATCAGTGCCTTGTGTCAGTGCTCTTCAGTGCCTCTTGCCAGTGCCCATCAGTGCCACATCAATGCCACATATCAGTGCCTACCAGTGCCCATCTGAGCTGCCTTTCAGTGTCACCCATCAGTGCCGCCTATCAGTGCTGTCTATAAGTGCCATGTATCAGTGCTGCCTTTCAGTGCCCATCAGTGATGCCTGTCAATGCCTATCAGTGTCCATCAGTGCAGCCTATCGGTGCCCATCACTGCAGCCTCATTAGCGCACATCAGTGAAGGAGAAAAATCACTTATTTACAAAATGTTATAACAAAAACTAAGAAACTTTTTTTTTTTTTTTTCAAACTTTTCAGTGGTTTTTGGTTTTAAGAAAAAATAAAAAACCCAGAGTTGATTAAATACCACCAAAAAAAAGCTCTGTCACAAAAAAAATTATACAAATGTCATATGGGTACAGTATTGCATGACCGCGCAATTGCCATTTAAAGTGCGACAGCGCTGAAAGCTGGAAATTGGCCTGGGCGCTGTAGGCTAGTGGTTAACTACTGGCGTTTTTAACAAGCTGAGAGTATGTCTACTGAGGTATTGAAGAGAATCCTAAAACAGCATTTTCTTCTATAGCTGAACAGAGCGAAACCACCTGACATTAACTGCACTGACCAGATGGGCAACACCCCTCTGCACTGTGCTGCGTATCGGGGCATGAAGAAGTGTGCCTTAAAGCTTCTGAAAAGTGGAGCGGATGTTAATATCAAGAATGAGAACAGTAAGTCTATTACATATACTGTATATCGTCAGCAGTGCAAATGGGAATGTCATTCCCTTAATATATATTGAACCATTTGGCATTGAGATATGTAATTTTTGGTTATATAAATGATCCAGGTAAAGAAGAATGGATAACTGAAAGCCAGCAACAGTATCTTAGCCCGCACTATATATTACTAAACAAGTACTATACTTTGACCATGTGGCAATTTGCAATGACTTTCATACAGCTTTTGAAGCATAAGTTCACTAAAAAAAAAAAATAATAAATGCAACTTTTTTTTGGCAGGTAAAAAAAAAATGTGCATTTATTTGTTTTCTTCAAAGCCTGCAGCATTGCACCCACGATCAGCAGATCACGGGTGCAATGTCAGACTCCTGCAGACTCTCAGTACAGTTACTGAAGAGCAGGAAGATCAATGAACTACAAGCCATCTGGCACAGTGGCAGACAGAACTGGCAGTCCTTTCATTCACAGATGGATGTGAATGAATGATGTGGCTGTGTGAGTGGATCCACGCACAGCCACGCTGTTTTTCCTACTTGCCGCCCGCTGCAGTACAGCCCTGCCGGATCATGTACCTCTACATAGGCGAGGGACTTCTGGGTTTGCTTGTGTGTGCACACAGTTGGTTGGAAACAGCGCAATTCTGTTGGCAGGTCCCAGCCAATGATTCATGGCTGAGACCTGCTGATCAGCTGTGTTTGATCGCAGCACAGAGCTCTGTGTTTACAAACACACAGGGCTTTGTGCTCTGATCAGTGATCTGGCTGTGTTTTTTCCCTGCAGTGTTAGTGTACAGTATTATCACAGTGTTAGAGTACAGTATGTTCACTGTATTAGTGTCACTAGCGATGTTAGTGGCCTCCCCAGATTTCCCACTACCCTAGCACAGCCAAACTATAATTCGCTGATCACCACCATTACAGTATAGCGTCTTTAGCTGCATAAATTCCGGTATATATAACTTAGTTTTTACATGCTATAACTTTTGCACAAACCAATTACTACAAAATTATTGGGATTTTTGTTTTACCAAAGACGTGTAGCAAAATACATTTTGGCCTAAATGTATGAAGAAATTAGATTTTAATTTTTTTATTGGATGTTTTATGTATTTTATAACAGAAAGTAGAAAATATTTTTTTTTCAAACATTTCACTCCGTTTTTTTGTTTATATTGCAAAAAATGAAAAGAAAAACAGCAAAGATCAAATACCAACAAAAGAAAGGTTTATTTGTGTGAAAAAATAATACAAATTTCATTTGCGTGCAGTACTACATGACCGCACAATTGCCAGTTAAAGTAGCACGGTGCTGAATAGGGAAAAAAATGCACTAGTCATGCAAGGGGTAAAATTGAAGACCAAGTGGTTAAATTATGACAGCAAGTGCGGGGAGAGGATCCCCTGTCTATTATCACAGTGAGGGACAGAGGGGGCTCAAGGGCTGCTGCATTAGTAACAGGTTACCTGTGACACCCTAAATACGAGTTTACCATGTAACATGTTAATAAAAGTGAACTTATTTAATAACCAAATGGATGAATGCTGTCTACTACCAGATATTTCTGTCCACACCTTTAGAGTGTCACTAAACCCACATCATAAAAAACTATCAAATGCTGTATTACATGCTGTTCATACACACTCAGTCACTATAGGATTCGTTTTTTGTATTCTGCAAAAAACCTGATTGATTCTGCTGTTCTTTATTTCCCCATTCTGTCCACGACCCCAATGTAGCTGGGGATTTTGCAGAAGTGTTGGCAGCTCTGCACATGCTCAGTTTTCAGTGAGGTTCTATGCTGAGCTTTTCCTCCCCATCACTTATGAGTAACCCATGTAATTATAAAGTCACACATGTAGGCATATACACAGTGGTAAATGACAGCCTACTCCTTCCCTCCTCCTTCATGCCCACTAACCAGCTAAACACAATGGGGGCAGGATATTACACCTTGATTGACAGAGGCTTCACCTCCCTGTTATTCTGAGACACAGGCTGTAGGGGCGTGACCGTCTGCAACTGGAAGAAATCCACCCCTACAATGTTATTGCCCAAAAAATATATATATTTTATTTCAAATATATATTTGTATAGTGATTTAAAACCATTGATTTTTTTTTTTTTTTTTTTTTTTTTTTACTCTGTATTTTGAACATGTGACCATCAGCAGAGGACTAGAATTTCCTCCTGCTTAGGTTTCCCTGCAGACAGGCCGGGAAAGATTTGGGTCATGTGACAGCTGTATATTGATTAGGAAAAAGATACTCCGATGATTTTTTTTTTTAAATTAAAATAATTAACAATGCCATTACCCACATACAGAAACAGAAGGGACAATGTAGCTTGTCTTGATTTTGCAAATAAAAGTTATATGAAATTGCCTGATCTTTGCCATATGTGGACAGCATTCTATGTACTTCAGCTGTAGTTCCATATTCCTATTCTTATGTTATACAAAACGTGATTCACAGCAACACTGGAGGTAGACTCCTTAGCATAAATTAGGCATCAGGCAATATTTCATTAATATGCTGAGTCCTTCTGTAAGCCACACCTATTCATGCATAGCCACACCCCCTTGTTTCATTGCACCATTACTGGAGCAGAAATTTGAACCTGAAATGTTGAGAGGCAATATGAGCAATGAACACTATGAACATTCATTCCTGTCCTCAGGAGGGTTGAATACCTCTTCATACGTGACCCATTTTTTAAAATGCCCGATTTGTAAACTATTTTTATTACTTGTTCAATCATTTATGACTTTTATTTATGTTATTCCAGACCAAAAGCCAGTAGATCTTACCCAGCACATTGAAATAAAGCGGGCTTTACAAACCAAACCTGGAAAGGTGAGATCATGATTTGCACCCAACATTGATTAGTCCTAAAGTAAACCTATCAAACCTGGTCAAATCAAATTCAGACACATGCAGAGGTAGCTTAACCCTTTCATTCCTAAGGGTAAAACAAATCTTAACACCTAAGCACAATTTTGCATCTTTGATATGTGTTAGTAAAACCATACATATCATAACTACTTTGTAAATCCAGGTGGATTATACCTTGTTTTTTTCAGGACAAATTGGGCTTTTATTTGGTGGTAAATGGTAATGGATATCTCCTGATTTTTTTTTTTTTTTTTTTTATCAAAGGAAAACTGGCCCAAAACAGTAAAAAAATTTTATTTAGCTGTGTGGTTCTTTTTACTACCATAACCTACCACCAGAAATCAACCAAAAAAATTGTTTCCAGCTCTTGACAATCGCAGGAATACCATATATGTTATTTGTATTTGTACTACAGCCCAGAAACAATAGTGCGCATTTTGTTTAGTTTTTTTTTTTTTTTTTTTACCTAAAACACACTGACACTAACTGACACTATTACCAATTTAAATTTAAAAAAAAAAAAAAATCCTGACCTTTGACCCAAACACTAACCCTGGCACTGAACTATTTCTTTATTGTTTAATATTTTTTTTTTTTTTTTTTTTTAACAGTTTTTTTTTTTTCTCTCTATGCAAGGAGAGAGAGAGATGCAATGTATCTCTCTCCTTCATTCAGAGTAGAAAAAAAACAAGGGGAGTGGGCTGTACAGTGACTGATCACTGTGACAGCCAGACTTAGGCGATCATGTGACCCGGAGTCCCGGGTCCCGATCCTTCGAACTCTCAGTGACACCCCGTCTTTGTGCTGGGAGTGCGCTGTGCTGCATGCTCCCAGCACAAAGATAGGTACGCAAATATGCGGCCGCACGGAAAAATAGCCCAGTTCTGTGAGGCCGCATATTTGTGTGATGTTGGCGTCAAGGGGTTAAGGGTGAAACACATGCCAAAGTGATCTGTGGTTCAAATGGTTTAGGTGGTTTAATCCTTGATTATTGTCTGTAAAAGTTGACCTTGGCCATACTCCCGTCCCATCTGTCATGCTGCTGGGTCAAGGATACACATGACTTTAATGAATCAGTGAAGAGGGTCCAAGCTCAGTATTTTCAGGAAAATCTGAGATTTACAAATAATTATACCACCTAAATTGCTGGATCTGCCTGTTTAAAATCACTTTTTTTATTACATCTAGTTTCCTGTAAAGTAAACCCTTGTTATGTACAGGATTTTTTGAATCGCTCAAGTTTACTTTAATTATGCTATATTTTAATGGATCATGTTTTAATTTTCAGTATAGTGCAAAAAACCTCCAAAGATTCGAAGGTCCACTATGCAAGGTACTTTTCCTTCCATATTTGTAATAACATAGTTATCCCATGCCCTTGACCAGTGTGCACCCGTCAAGGCAGATCTTTTTTAGTAATTGCTCTCGGTGTGATCCTTTTAGCTCCTTTCAGAAAGAGTGGAAATTTGACATCTAGAAAAAAAATCTAAATCTAACCACAGCAGATCAGCTATATATTTAGATATCCTGGAAATACAACTGTAAAAAA